TTGTTTATCAAAAATTTATAATGAAAATAATTTACGGAAGGAAAAGCCAGGAGGAATAAGTATCGACATGTAAACTTTTTTTTCTAAATTGACGTATTATTTAAATAGGATGATGATAAATGATTTTGTTTTTATGGGTATTTTAAAAATTAAATTTTATCCTACAATTATCGCATCAACAAGTTGTCCTTGCCCAGATAACCACAGTTAATTTTTGTTGATCTTGCAATCCAAAAACATTATCGACAGCAAATAACAATTCTTTCGTCTGTCTGTGTGTACGTTCAGTGTGCATCGAAGAAATACTGAAATTGGCCTCTCTCTATATCACACGACATTTGTGTTATCTCCGACACAACTACAGTTACGACAAAAATGGTTCTATTTTCGTCGTTATCAACCCGACCGCCGTATTATCAGTATTTGCTCTGGTTGTTTTCAAATGGCAGCAGAGGGAAAGAGGCGTACATTGTCGATAATTCGTTAAATTTATCACACAGCTCAAAGATAAGTTCTCGTAACGTTTCAAATTTGTTATGTGTTTATTATAGAATAGTTGAAAAAAATAAGATATTATTTATAAAATGATAACGAATTATTTTTTAGTTCATTCTTCATCATCGTTGTCTTTTATTTCGTCGCATATACGATGTGTATAAACAGTATCGTAATTGTAAAAAAATTCGACCTTGAGATTTTGATATAACTATACGTTTTGAGTGTTTCTGAATTCATTTCAAGTATTTTTAGCACTATATTGGATTTTGGTTGATTCGTATCACTTTTCAATTTTTGACTTATGAATCTTTTTTTTTTTCTTTGAACTTATTGTCTTAGCTTCGAAAAGATTACATGTTCTTTACCAGTGGCTGAGTTAATTCTTGACCAGATCAGGGAGTTTAGGAGAGATTTAAATTAGAATCTTTGAGCTTCAATTGAACATAAATATCATATATATGATTCTTAAAAATACAGTCGATATGTATATTTTTAAATATTTCTTGTTTTTAATTTTGAACGAAACCAACATATTATCCAATGACCTTGTATAGAGAGAATTGAATAGAGAGCGGCATATTACACGGTTATTTTCCTCGTCATCGTTGACGTTTTCTGTGATTTTTGCGTGACAACCGTGAATCATACCCAAAAAGTATAGTATACACGACGATCTTCGTAATTAGCCATTTTCAATAATAACAATATTAATAAAAATAATTAAGTAGAGGTGGTTTGCATTCGCTTCTATATTTGGTCGGTTTATCATCCGTTTTATAGTCTATTGAAAAAGTTGAAAACAATTACTCGTTATCGTACTCGGTGTATGTTGCGCAAAAAAAGTCGTTCGATTGCGAAATACTACGTTATATTTTAACTCGCAATAACAAACCTTTAAAAAAAATTTGGTTCGATTTTCCCGGTATGGATGACCTTGTTGTTATCGGAGAAATATAAAATAATCTTTTTATATATTTCATCGTCTATCACAAAATAAAATAAGTTTTATTCAAATTTAATTAATCGATTTACCAACATTATATACATTTTATTAAATCATTTGACGTACGTAAATTATAAGATGAGACCACTACAAAACGATTTGAGAAATAAAATTGTGTAATGTGACGTAAGTTATCGCTCGCATTAAAATCGTTTTATATATAAATGAAATTTCTTAAAAAAAATAAATTTTAATTGAAATCGTTGACATTCTGAAGAGTACGTCATTAAATTACGTTTGAGGAATGGGCTTTCGCTGTCGAACATGTGGTTGGTTTCGTAAATAACCAAGTGACGCCGATGTCTATTTAGATTTTTACACGTTTTAAACAACTACGTCAACAGAAACCCAGAACATTTCTTTAACCTTGAATTAACTAATGAACTCGTTAAGATTATTATTTTGAAAAGACCAGTTTTTTTTTTTATAATCTATTTTCTGCATCATTTTTTCCTCCGAAACGGATTTATATTAATCTTATCTTTTCTCCACGTCAAACAGGGACAAACAAGGATTAAATTCTTTTCCTAAACATTCAAATCTCTCAACGATGAGAGAGATGTTGTAACAAATCCATCTACTAACTTTACTATAGTCGAGAAAAGGTGATTGACCCAAACCTCTCTCTACTAAATACGAAGTTTAACTAAAAATCCGAAAAAACTAATATTGTGTTAACATTATTTGTAAACATGGTGTTTGTTTAGCGAGCTCTGTAATAGAAGCTTCTGTTAACATTTCATCGGTTTAATTGCACTAATACAACAACGATAATGAACGGGTCGAATACGGTCGGTTCAACGATGAATAACATTATTCGAACGTGTATGAATTGGTATCCTCTTCTTTTTTCAATGGTGATTCAATTGAACTTATCGCAACGATTAGTAATGCTTGGGATAACTACATATAATATGCGAAACATAGATAAAATATGCAAAAAAATATTGCGTGGTCGTCAAATCTTTACGCAAGACGATTGTGAATTTTGTATTTATTGATTCATTTGAATTGTTAATTTTGATATTTTCCAAGATTTTAAACAAATGAAGAGATTTACAGCTGAAAATGAGAATACAATGTAGTCGAAAAATAACCTGTTTACTTAACATTAATGATACCAAAGTATTTGCTGGAACAATTAGCACATGGAGGTAAGAAAACGACGCAAGAATCTCACGCAATCGTATTTTCTATGTAATAAACGGTGAGGATCGGGTTATAATTTTCACATCGTTAAAGTGCACGAAATCTATATTATTAAATAACCCTTACACTTTACTTTGTAAACAGTTTACATACAAATAAATTTGCTCGGTACATTTAAAACCAAAAAAAATGAATAAACTATCTACTTGAGTATGCAAGATCTATTACAAAAACAAAATCAGCAGGTAGAAATGAGGGTCGTGAATAAGGTATGTACAAGGGGCAAAAAGGATAAGCAACAGGTAGATTGGGGTGAATTGTCAAAAGGAGAGGAAATTTTCTTTTAAGATAGTTACGATAGAAGTCCCTTTTTTCCAGAGACAATGCGAAATCTACCTGTTGTTCTTAGAGATCAACGGAAAAGTTTTTAAAAACTCTTTACTTACGTTTTAAATTTCAAAAAATATAAAACCGGCTACAACCCAGATGTTTTAAAATAAAAAGAAACAAGTTTTTAAAATAATATCCAGTTCGATAAAAGACATGAACGAGAACGAATCGATTTCCTTCATGAAAATTACTTTTTAAAACGTTATAACGTTATTAAAGTTAAAGTGAAAGATTTCTTTTATCTTTAACGATTGGATTTAATAAATTTTAAAAACGGAAATGTTAAAGATGGATGGTTTCGATTTTACTTTTGTAAGTATAAATTTGTTTAATTAACACTATTTTTTGTTAAATCGAACCTAGTAATTTTCCGGTTGCGTCACAATGTAGTTATCAGTTTATTGAATTTCGTAAATAAATTAGTTTTTTTAAACAATACATTTCAAGTGTTTATCGAAAAGGATTCTGTTTAATCATGTCAATATTTTTCATGAAAATCTAAAAAGTATTTAAGTATATCGTAAATGACTTGTTACTATTTTTTAGGGAACTTTTAAATTAAGGTTATAAAAATGTCTAACTTGTTTAAAATTAGGTTACAAATCACCTATACGAAGTTAGCCTTGTAAACGACAGCTTTTCTTGAATCAATCTAAGTTAGCAAGTAAATAGGTTGGTTTAAATGATGTTAGCAAAGATTGTTCTTATTTGTATGACAATAACTTCCGCTTGCTTGAATATTTTCGCATATCTACTTTTTTTCGTTTTACCTCTTGTTTGATACTTTATTATAGAGTATTCTAACTTTTGCTCTTTTACTTTGAAATTGTCTCTTATGTTGGTTTAGTTCCTAGCTTCCATTCCGACTATATTTATTGATGAGATACTTACTTACTTACTTCCTGTCGCTCCTGGCGTAGCATAGGGCAACAGTAAAGGCATTGGATAGCACCTCACGCTTATAATGCGTCATTGCACTGCAGGCATTGATTAATGAATAATACCTGTAATTCCATGTTTCATACCTATACAGGAGGACTGACTTTACATTGTTGAGTTACGCTGTTGAGCAAGCGAAGTTTAGTTCTTTTTGAAATGTACATATGTCTTATTTCGCTAATTAGATAGGGTACGATTGCACGAAGACCTCATTTGCTCTCTGTATTCGCTTGCTTTCAGAATTTGCCTAAGTAACTATTGAGGATCGGTACACTTATACCCCTCATATATCTCTTGATGACTCTACTGATGACATTCAGAGGGACCGCATATTCTTCGAGAGCATATCATATGATTCTTCTGTTTAACGAATCAAAAGAACACAGCATGGTAGGGTATTCATCGAGTTTGAGAAGGCTTTCGACTCGATGAGACACTTGGAGATGTTAATTTTGTGACTGAACACAATCAGAATTATTCGTTGTTGTTTTAGGTATATGTTAAAATATGTATATATTAAAGTTAAAATAAAATTTCAAATTTGATATAAAACATAAACACAAAATAAATCGCTGAGTCACCGTTGTTTTGTACACAACGGAATCGACAACGAGCTCAGGTAATTTAGTTGCATAACATTTTAATTGGCCTTCCGGGAAGTACTTTAATTTTATTGTTTTTAAGAACATGTAAATATAATAATCACAATTTCAAAGTAAAATGCTTTTTAATAGGATTCCGTTTTTAAGAATTCCTTTATTTCTTGATTTGATCAATAATAATTTAATGTTAAAAAGAAATGTTGAAACCAAAACTTTCCCTATTTCTTTTTAAAACTCATTTTCGAATCAACTTTATTAACTCAATAATAGTGGACGGAGAGTGCTAAGGTCGAAAATACAACGTTTCCCTCTAAAAAAGAAACAAACGCCATCTATGTAAACGTCACAAACCCCCCACCACTCCTTTAGAGAGAGAAGTGGGGATCAAACCTACTGAGTGTTGTCTGACGGCAAGCCTATTCAGCGCAGAGTCGAGCCGGAACAGCGCTGCGAGCGAAACGTACTTGTCGAGAGAGTAAAAAGAGACTTTTTCAAGTTGAGTGCGACGGTTCTCGAAAATATAACACTCATTCATATTGTATACGGTTGTGGAGAGAGAAAGAGAAAAATCTTAGTTCGAGTTGTCGGTTTTACGGGCAGTGCGCAAAGTTTAATTAAGAAAAAAATAAATTTTTTTCAAAGGAAAAGTGAGCAAAATTATTAAATAAATAAGGATTTATCAGAATGTCTACGGCGGTGATGTCACAAAGTGCCATGTATGAATTCGGGGATATTATTAAGGTAATTATATATATAAAAAAGAGTATATAGATACTTTTTCCTTCCTCGAAAGAACATAGATAGTTGTTGGTTGTTTTTCATTTGATCACGCCTTCCTCTCCCGGCTTTCTCAAATAAGTTCTTCGTCGCCAACGTTCTTAAAGAACGTTGTCGTCGAGAAAGTAGGCTTTTAGAACAACTTTTCCCAATTGTGTTTACAACCTCCGGCGATAGTAGTCGCTTAAAGATGAAAGTGTTTAATCTTTTCGATTTTAAATATATTAAATTTTACCCATTTCTCGTTACTTTTCAGAATTCACAATCTGAATTGTCTTCAGGAGTGCCGTTGGCGGTGGGAGCCCCAGCGGCGAGATACAAATTAACACGTATGCCATCGACTCCCGTGGGTTCCTCCTCGACGGCGGCAAATTTGGTCTCTTTAATAACGATGACGACCAATATACAAGTACAACAGCAGCAGCAACAACAACATCGAAGGTTGGAGAGGACGCAATCCGCCCCGGCGCCATCCGCGGCGGTTGCGGCGACAACCGTAAATACTTCAAGGTATAAAACGGAGTTGTGTCGACCGTATGAGGAGTTCGGTGTTTGTAAATATGGAGATAAGTGTCAATTTGCTCATGGAGTTGCCGAGTTGAGAAGTCTCGCGAGACATCCCAAGTACAAGACGGAGCTCTGCAGGACGTACCACACGGTCGGGTTCTGTCCGTACGGTCCAAGATGCCATTTTGTGCACAACCAAGATGAGGTGTTGCAACAACACGGAAGGGTGCAACATCATCAACAACAACAGCAACATCAAGTTAGTGCGGCTTTGATTGGTGGCAGGCCGGTAACGAGGCCGAGGCCTGTCGCATTGAGCCCTTCGTTATCTTTGGATAGTCCAAGTCCACCATGTAGTTTAAGTCAGTCTCCTACCTCATCGATGGGTTCTTTTTTTAGTAGCGAACCAGAATTACATAGTCCAGGGATCGAAGAGCAAAGATTACCAGTTTTTAACAGATTAGCAGCACCTCTTCTCGCCCTTGGAGATCTCAGGCTATAGATTACTATAGCCTGAAGTTTTTTTACACGTTTTTTCAAATCAATTTTTTACTTTAATATTTTTGGGAAAAAACCACTCAACTTTTTGCATTTTCTTTTATTTATGATCCGCGCGTCTAATTTATTTTTTAATAAGGTCATTAAATGATAACAATCAAACCTTCTAATAAAGGGGGGAAAGTGATTTTGATATTTTTGTGATTTCTTTCTAATAATATATATATATATATATATAAATATATAAAATATACAATATTATCTATGATTTAGGAGTAAACGTTTGCCTGTTATATTGAGAGGAAAAAACTTTGGAAAGATTTTTTTTAGAATAGATTATTTATTTTTTTTAAACATCGGTCTCGATCTTGAACATTCCGTTTTTTTTTTAATTTTTCAAGGCTCATTCATTTTCCGTTCTACTTTTTATAAACAAAAAATGCATCTGACCGATGATTGCGGAATTTTGATTTTTTACTTTGTTACTTTAAAAAAATCATTATTTAATTTCTCGTGTTTCTCACTACTGATATGTTTATGTTTTTATATAGTTATTTTATTATTATTGTAATTTATATTGTAACTTATTTATATACCGCAATAATTATCGTAGTTAAGTGACTAGTGTGAATCATCGCATTAAAAATATCATCCTTTCAAAAAATGGGACAATTCGTAACATTTGTCCACTACCTGTATATTATTTATATTAGCTAATATGTATTTCTAGAATAATCAATAAATTATATTTTGTTCTTAATGCTTTAGTTTTGTTATTTTATAAAAATTTTAACCGATAATCCATTCAAAACCCCTTTAAAACCTTCTTTTAAACCCAAAAACGTGTTCAAACATTTCCAGATGTGAACAGTTTTTACTGCTGCGCACCACGACTGGCGCCATCTATGCCTTCGGGCAAGATCATTGAAAGTCATGTCCTTTTATAATCACCTGACGAATATAAACGTATAAAACATGTTTTCCTTGTTTTCTTTATTTTCATTTACAACTATTTCTGTATTTATTATTTAGACATTAACCATACATTAAAATTAATAATCTTTAATCACATCACCTTTTAAAATAATGACTATATAATTTACAAACGTTTATCATCTTACTCTTTTTTTAAAAATTAATATAATCAGTACTTTATATTAATTAAATGAATATTTTAAATTTGTACACCTAACGACATCTATGAGTTAACAGATGTTAATAAAATTCAAGAATTTAGATTGTTTATTTTTCTAAAATTCAGTCCAGCCATGTAAATAATATGTCGGAAAATAAAATAAATAAAAAGAATTACTATATATTATGTTATAATAAGGCAGACTATAAGGCATTATATAAAACAAAATACATGAAGTCGTAAGTACCTTTATTTTTTGGTAGATGGAGTAAAATTATTCAATAAGATTCTTTTAATTTACTTAAAGGACGTAGTTCTGACCAATTTAAATATGAATAATTTTTGTTATTCTTTGAATGTCCTTTCTGTATAATATAACTACATAATATATTTTGACTAATATTTTTATAATTTTTTTTGTGTCAAGAGATGGCGCCAAAAGTAATCGTTAATTTAATTAAATCTTAATACAAATTCAAAATATTAAAAAATTGATTTATTAAGGATGAATAGAGTCGGATATTAAAAGAACAAATAAAAGTTTGGTTAAAATATTAATTTTATTTTAATTAGAAACGTCAGGTAAACTCCTATATATTTTGTATTACTAAAAAGGCATAACGTTCAGAATCATTTAAAAAATAAATAAAAAGGCACCATCTATGTATATAAAGTTATTTAGATTTTTTTCTCATCGTTAAATCTTTTAAACATGGTTTTAATTCTCTCTTTTGACTTTAATTATTTACTTTTTTATGTATATTTATATAAATAAAGTTATTTTCATTTCCCTGCTCACGATACAAAAATAAAATATCACATTCTGTTGCATATCATCACCCTTTGTGTCCACACCAATTCCAAGAGTGTTTCTTTCATTTTCACTGCTGATTTTTCCCCCCCAATATTAATTATCAGACCACGGAAAAGACCCTATAAAACTATTTGTTTTTGTAACAATATTATGATAATTATATTGTTATTGCGGGAGTGTTTAAAATTTAATTGGTCACTCAACAGAGAAAGTTACTTTCTTTCATCCTGATTCTAACTTGAAATTTAATTTTAAATTTACAACTCGATTCGATCACTAACTAATTGTAAGATTTTGTTTAATTAATAGTAAATAGGTACGTTGACTATCAATGACTATAAGGCTTATATCTTATGATAAAAATCTTTTTGGTCATTTTGTACAGTTAACTGTCGTCTTAGAATTCTACGCGCGCATTCATTCCAACACTTTTAATCTATTCAACGTGGGTTCCTCTCAATCAAATTTGTCAACGAACAAAAAGAGCAGTTTAAGACATTATCGGAAAACATTTTGTTTTTTTAATCAACACATTGTAGTACTTAATCGTAATTAAAGTGCAAAATTACAATTTTCCTTTCTCTTGTGTGTGTGTGTGTGTTTGATTAAAAGAGGGTGTTTATGCTTTATGTATGTAAATAACAAACCTACTCTGATCGTTAAAATATAGATAATGACTAAGAAGTTTAAATTTTTAATAATAATAATAATTAAAATTATTAGAATATTCCTAGATCCCAATCAGATCAACAATTTTGTTTTTTAATACATATAATTACTTTTTTGTAATAAAATATCTACTTTAATCTTAAAAATTATTGCATATCATAACATTCAATAAATTTTTATCTCATCTTTTTAGTAATAATTAATAGTAAATATTTGTCTCTGTACAGTTAACACTTATAAAATAAAATTATACAAAAAAAAAACTAGCAGTTTGATTTGGTTCCAGTAACATACTGACTAAAAAATAATAAAAAACAAAACGTTCGTATGTTAATAATATTTGGCCTTATTTTTTTAATATGAATGTGTCTAAAAATATTCTTGTCGATTATTTTTTAATCACCCTGTAAACTTTAATTAAATTAAGACTCACTATTAGCAACATCCTGATAAACTACAGTTATCAGGATGTTACAGATGGTTACCAAGTGAGCCTAATACGTCAATTTTAACTAACGTGATGTTTTCAAAGGTTTTCAAATTTTTGATTTTAAACTTATGGAACAACAATAACAAATTAATAATAATCGTAAAATTAAACTAAACAATAAAACTGTTGATAAAAACAATATTAAATTAATAGAGATAAAACAAAAAGTGCAAAAAAAACATCCTTATGAGTAAATATAGGCACAGGAATATTACTTACATTATTATTATTAACCATTTTTGTGCACAACGTCTCCAAAATATATCCAATAAACAATGTGAATAAAAATGGTAATAATAATATATTCTTTTCTTATCACTAAATAATATTTAATACTTGTCTCAATTGATCTTTTGTGAGTTAGCGGCAATTTCAGCGAGAGTTGTAAGACCCGACAAATCAGTTGGAACCAAATTATTATTATTATTATTAACTTTTTCATCATTCGTCATACCCAAATGAGTTATGCTTCTTTTATTTTTCCGTTTTTGCGATCCAATCAAGATATTATTATTATTATTATTGTTATTATTATTAAGACTGGAAGCGACACTTTGGAGTTTTGGGTGTTTCGCTTCAACCCCGGACGCATTCTGTTTAGTTTTTGGTAACTTTCGTTTTTTACTCTCACGTTTTCTTTGCATGTAAACGTCGTAATTTAGAGTGGGTAAGCCCGAGATACGATCCTCGAGGTTAAAATCACTTTTCGAGGAAAAATTTTCTTCGGAAGACGACTCGGAGTTTGTGTAAATTCTTTGCGGGCGACAATTTTTTTCTTTTTCTTTATGGTTGTTGAGATTATGATTATGTGTGAAGTCGGGAATAGTTTTGTTGGTCCTTTCGGCTAAGCGACGAATCGTTTGTTGTAAATCGAGTTTTTCTAGTTTTTCTTCGTCTTTTTTAAAGGTGACAATGTCAGGGATTGTTTGAAATTGTTGTTTTTCGCGTTTATTTTTCAGTAATTTTCCGTTAGACATAAATTCGATATACTTTAATCCTTTACAAGATCGCTCCGATTTTCTCGGTTCTCTTAATAGATTATTACTATCAACACCACCATTCGATGACTCCAAATGAGGCACAAAACTTTGATTTAAAATCATATTTTCAACCACTTTATCCATTAATTCTTGATTACTAATTTTCTCGTCAACACTCGATATGTTCGATATATTCGATATCTTTGTAGTTTCGAAAATATTTCTCACAATTTTTTTGGTGTCCATCTCGAAGTCTTTTCGTTTTTTAATCGGTTTTGATGGTACCACAGCCGGATTTGGATCATCCGTTACGTTTGGAGGACTTTCCGGATGTTGATCTTCTAAACTGTTTTCGAAACGCTTTCCAAAAGTGGATTGCATTAATGAGGTTAAGTTCCCCAATTGAGACTCGTCGGCTAATTTGCCCGGTGTAAATTCGGATTCGTGCCTTTGATTTGTGGATAAAGTTGTCGTCGAACATTGATGAGGCAGTAAAGGTTCCTTTTGAACGCTTCCCGGTCGCGTTACCAACGTTCTTAAAGGCGGTGCTGGCAGCTTATACCATTTAAATCCTGGATTCGCAGAGAAAAATGCATCTTTATACTAAAAAAAAATTAAGACATTACTTAAAACTATTTTTTGTTAATGTAAAAAGTAGTTTTTTTAATTACCTCTTTTGCTAAATCCTGATATGGTTCCTTATCACAATTATCCAACATCGCCCACCATTCCCCCAAGATTCTTGTTACCCCTCGATTTTCCAAATTTGGAAACTTTTTTCTTACAATTGGCCGATGTTTCTTACAAAAAATTAAAAAAGCGTTCATTGGCCGACGAGCGTGATGCGCCGGAGAAGCTCCCTCGTTTTCAAGTACTATTGGAGACGTTGGCGTACTCACAGCAGGACATTTTTTCTCTTCCTTCTCTCCGTCTTTCTCTTTGATATTATTAATGATATTAACACCCGTTGTCGTTAAGTTTTCTTCCCCGGAAACATCCCCCGTTTGATTTCTCCAACCCATTTTTAAGCTTATTTCGTGTTTGGCTGGTTTTTTATTACTATTATTGTTACTAAATGTATCCTTTGACCAAACGGTGTTTATATCCGAGGAAGTTTCTAAATTGTGCGTATATTTTTCAGGTTCATTTTGTTGCTCCTGTTGTTCTTCTTCAAAGCAACTTGAGCAATTTGTTTCAATTGTATTCATATTTCGATTTGTTTTCTTGATAATTTTTTTTAAATTTGGATGGATTTTATAAATCTATAAAATAAATAAATGTGTTATTAATCTTTATTTATTTAATTAAAAGCGTTTTACATAAACATTAATTTTAATCATTTTTTGTATCATAACATGCACAGATGTTCAATGAAAGAAATGACTAATTAATAAATAAGAATTTTCAACAAAAAAAAAAAAATAATAAAATATCGGCAACAAGGAAAATCACTTGGTATGAAGTGCATATTGACGAATGGGTATCGATAAGGTGTAGTTGTAGAGATAAGGAAACCCACACAAACTCAAAACGAAATCGGCGGAAGTTATTTCAATGAGAAAACTTATTTCTATTTTGATTTTTATTTTTAGATTTTAAAGAAAATGGTAAGTGAAGTTGAAAATGGAAAAAAAAACATTCGAGAACGCTAAGCAAGAGGCGTGCTGTTTCGTAACGCAAGGTGTATTTGGAAAATAAAATCAACGAGAAGAAAGAAAAAAAACTGGTCGTGTGACACACATAGAAACAATACTACTAGTTTTATCGTTTTAAATAAACGCCGATTAAAAGAATAGTGTCGACACTTATATTTTTCTGGCACTTCCAGTTGAAAATTAAATTATTGAAATTATTACTTTTGATGATAATAATCAAAAGATTAATTAATTTTCCAGGAAATTAATAGAATTTTCTTTTCGTATTCAGTGTTAAAGACGAGTGGAAATACGAAACGGTAACATAAACTCTACGATGGTCCGCCCCTTAGATTTTTCGCAAGGCAGACAACCAAGTAAATAACGAGTAATGTTTACCTGGTCGACTACAAAAATCACAGAGCGAATTTAGAGAAGATAGAATCACACAGGATCATTTTTTACTAGAAAGCACATAACTCAAAAATTCGACAGGAGGTACTAAATTTCAATTTAAAGATGCTCAGCTCGAGAAAGTGCTGGGGGAAATGTTTGCAGACAATATCGTTTTAATGATAAACAAAGAAGGTGATCTTGCGAAAAATTATAAAATTTGGAACAAGACACTAGCAGAATAAGGAATAAAAATCAACAAGAACAAAATTAAGGTGATGATACCAGGGGACAAGGAAGAGGAACAAGTTAGCCAAAGATGAGCATGTACAAAAAATGAATTAGACTGGTCAAAAAACAAGGAAGACCGCGGCAGACATGAGACAAAATCATGAACCAGAATGACGTATGTATCTGAATGACGTGCCCAAACTTCAGGGGGTGATTCTTTAGGCAATTTTAAGGGTACTTTGATGTATGAACCATGGGCGACTTGGGCTCCCCTAAGGAGCTACACCCCTCCAACAAATTTTTTTCTCAAAAACCATAAACGCTAGGAAAATGAAATTTGGGGAATATGTTTAACTCATAGTAAGGCACGTTTTCACCCTATTTGTACTTTCAACCTATCCTTCTAAACTACTAAACGTAACCACCCCCTTTACATTTTTGCAAAATTTTTGAAGCAGATGTTAAATACATTAAAAAAAATTTACGTTGGTTAAATTTTTCCAAAAACGACTCATTTTTGAGAAAAATAATACTAAAGCAAATACTGCCCTTTAAACAACGGGGTTGTCTATCAAAAGTTGGAATGAATTTTTAATGAAAAAATCTTAGTAGGCTTTACAATCTTTGTCAGAAGTATTTTTGACCTTTAAAAGTGTTTTTCTTACTATTATTATTTTTTTCAAATTAATTTTTAAATAAACTTCTATAGCATTTACGCTCGTTCACTCGACGTTTCAAAATTTTAAATAAAACAATAATAATAGTAAGAAAACCACTGACATTTAAACATCAAAAATATTTCTGACAAAGATTGCTAAGCCTGCTAAGATTTTTTCTTTAAAAATTGATTCCAACTTTCGATTAACAACGCTACAGCTTAACAGTTAGTGTTTACTCAATTAATTTTTTTATCAGAAACTATTAACTTTTCGAAGAACATCAGAGAGGCAAAAAAGCTTTAGAATATTTTCGTCTATAAAGTCATAAATCTAACCGTCATAAAAAAGATCTAGACAAAAATTGAACGGGGGTAGTTATGTTTAGTAACTTAGAAGGGAAGATTTAAAGTACGAATAGGCTCGAAACATGCCCTATTATAAGCTAAACATATTTCCCAAATTTTATTTTCCTGGTGTTAATGGTTTTCGGGAAAAAAAAATAAACCAAAATTTTTCGCCATTTTTGAAGGGGTGTAGTTTCTTAGGGGAGCCGAAGTCGCCCATGGTTTATATATTAAAGTACCCTTAAAATTCACTAAAGAATCACCCCCTGAAGTTTGGGCACGTCATTCAGATAAATCCTGTATATAAACGACAATAATCGAACATGTCCTACTAACCAATCAAGAAGCTATACATATATAAACTAGTCTTAGAATGGTATTTTGGGAGAAACAATTACCTAGATTTAAAAAAAAAAATGTGACTTTTCACCTCTACTTTTTGATATTATACAAATAAATAAATAACTCACTGTAATGGAAGATTTATGCAAAATTAACATTAGGCGGTCCGCCATATACGTTTAGGATCGTCCATAAACATTTTGAACTAATGGGCTTCTAATATCACACAAACATATAACGCTGTATCCATATCGAGGTAAAATTGAAACATATACTTTTCTTCACATTCACTATAAACATTACAAACATAATGTTTGAAGAATTTTTTTAATGATAACATTTAGGTTATAATCTGAATGGATTTTTTTTGTCGTAATTTCACAATGCAACGTAAATTTGTTTTACATAGAGTAGTACTTTCAATGTCATCGATGTAAACGTGAAAGAATCAAAAGTAAATATAGATTAATAAAACGAAATATAATTAAATTGTAAGATTAAGCCGTTTTTATTAATGAATTAATGAAATAATCTGAACTACAGTTGTAAAAATCCAGTTTGTGAATTTTAAAATAAAACGATTGAGGTAGGAAAAATAATAAATTAATGCATTTCAAGGCCAGGCGAATTAAACGTCGAATTTTTCAATGAAACCCGGTGCCTCCATCGAACACATATGTGAAATATTAACGAAATTGTATCGGAACGCGATAAAAAGAACGAGTTCATTGAAAAAGATTGGTAAAAAAGCGCATATTTACCTAGAAATCCGTAGACGGTCCAAGACGCAATGTCATGACGTCACTTGGTTAAAAAATAAGCTACTGTTTTGACAGTGCCCGACAACCTCCCCACGAAATATAAGGACCCCGACACTTTTTCAATCGATCACCTTGTATACGCCACTACGTTTCTGTCATTTTAATAACGACGTTTCTTTTCAAGCGAAACCCGTACGAAAATCAAGATGTCTAACGGAGTCAGTGTTTAGATTGTCAGCTGTTACTCGAACCCCCCACCACCGAGTCCCGATCGCTTCGATTGGTGGATATTCCGAAAGAATTTTCACCAATATTTGACACAATTTTACTTACAATCTATTTTTACATCCCCGATATTAATTTACGATCGCGTTTCAGTCATTAATCCAATTGTTTCTCTCATAAATCATATCTTTATGAATCGTGGTGTAACTGCGTTTGTTTAACTAATTACCCCCCACTATCGTGATTTTATTAATTATGCTGTCCTCTAGTAGATGAATTTTTAAACAAACAAAATACAATTTGAATAAAAGGAAAGATTTAACGCATATACATAATATGTAGAATTCAATATGAATACAACTTTAAACGGTACCTCCATTTATTAAAGTACCAGTCAATGATGCTATGGATGGTCTTCGCCAAAAACTCATTCTGAAAGGATTACCAAAGTATATTCCAAGGATAGTGGCATATTTAATTTTAATTTAATTTCTACATGGAGGTTTTTGAGGAAGAAGCTTCAATGAACACAAAGCTCTGATGTCGTTACATGGATAACACTGTTGTGACCTCTGGCAGTATGGAAAAGTGCGTCTCTAGAAGTTCCTAGGTCTAGTGTTAGACCTAGAACTATGATTCAAGTTGTTGTATATTAAAAGAAAATAATTTTTAAATCGATCAAAACCATTTTGTATCCTTCAACTAATCATACCTAAATTTTTATAAATATTTTTTTAACCACATCATTGTCGTAGTAAATAACAGCCTTTTTATCACTATAATTCATTATAACATCATTTATTTCATTAATTATTAGATTTTTAAGACATTTTAAAACAAAAATTAAATTTTAATCTATACATCGTTAGTTTGACAACGTTGGCATACGTTTTGTTAATTTGGTTGCATACTTACAATATTTTCTCATACAAAATCGATCGAGTGCAATACATTTACAATCGAATTAATAATTAACATATAGCAATAAGTTTATTAATTAATATTTCACATTAAAAAAAATCGATACACACAAAAGTTTGTTTTTGAAGATTTTTTTATTCACACAATTTGACACCTAAACAAAATTACTTGTAAAATTCGTGTTCGCTCTCATCTTTTTTAATATTATTTTTATATCCCTTTTCGAAATCCTTGGGTAAGACAATGTATCGATTTTCACGAACAGCATGCATCCCCGCCTCCTGACAAATTGCATTAATATCAGCACCAGAAATGCGATCCGGTCTTGCTACAAAATCTTCTAAATCAACCTAAAAGAAAACAATTAATTGAAGTTTTTTGGTAAAAAAGAAAAATTACCTCCTCTGATAAATTCATTTTCGACGTAATCGTAGTGAAAATAAGACGTTTTTGTCTGCGATCAGGCAGTGGAAACTCAATTTTCCTATCCAAACGACCAGGACGAAGTAAAGCAGGGTCCAAAGTATCAGCTCGATTCGTAGCCATAATAACCTTAACGTTTGTGGTTTGATCGAAACCATCCATTTGATTCAAAAGTTCTAACAGTATCCTTTGAACTTCTCGATCTGCCCCTGTTTGAGCATCAAATCTTTTTGTGGCGATTGCATCAATTTCATCTATAAATATTATAGCTGGAGAGTTTTCTTTAGCTAATCTAAAAGGAGATGCTTAATCTTTTCTTTTTTTTTAAATAAAAAAAAAATTGATTTACCTAAATACATCACGAACCATTCTTGGCCCTTCTCCCAAATATTTCTGAACAAACTCTGACCCAACAACCCTTATAAAAGCTGCGGTCGTATGATGAGCTACAGCTTTAGCAAGCATAGTTTTACCGCACCCAGGAGGTCCGTACATAAGAACTCCTCGAGGTGGATCAATACCAATTTGTTTATACAATTCAAAATGAGTCAATGGAAGTTCAACGGCTTCGCGGATTTCTTGTTTTTGCATATCCATTCCTCCGATATCAGCATAAGTAACGTCTGGTTTTTCGTCGGCTTGCAACATACTAATTGACGAGTCCGCTTCAGGAGGTAGTACATCAACTAAAGCGTTGCTATGTTTGTGAAGCGCTACGCTGGCCGAAGGTTTCAAAAGCTCACGATCAATGGTTGATAAAATACGTACATAATAATTTGAACCAGTTGTTGAACCTACGATGCCTGTATTTTGATCCACAGCTTCTAAAAACTGGCCAATTACCAATGGTACCGATTGTATACGTTTCACTTCCTCTTGGGCGTGCAAATATTCCTTTTTAAGGTTCCGTTGCTCATCCTTAATGTATTCTTCTTGAACCTCTAAGAATTCAAGCATTTGTTGAAGTTTTTTGTATTTAGTATACAAATCTTCCATGTCCATGTCTTGCAAGGCTTGCTTTTGTTCGGCAGGACTCCCTTCATCCTGTAAATTTAACATTATTCAAATCGATCGAAAACTTGTTTGTCAAGCGTTGGTGGATTTTTGGTTAGAATAGAGGCAAACAATGGTAACCAAGATAAAATGTACCAAGTCAAAGTGATTTTGGTGGGTTTTTTGAAAGGATTTCCTGTGATTTTGTTACCTTTTCGGGTAAAACCACTTCCATCGCTTCCATTTTATGATGACTTGTATTTTTCACCGTTTTCTTTCAGAATGTTTGACAGATTGGGGAGTTGAGTTTTATTTTATATAGTGTATTACTTTTTCGTTGGTACTACTGCAAAATGAAGTTGGAAATATATTTTAAATAAATAATTCAGGTATAAGTAAATGTAATTATATATTTGTTTTATTATTTATTATATTACTTTTTTACTAAGTTAACTATATTAAATAACAGCGTTAAATATACGAAATAAACTAAAAAATAAAATACCCCATTTTCAAATTTGAACTGTCATCTTAGATTAAATGTCAAATGTAGTTAATATCTATTTTAATCTTAAAAAATTAAAAAAATAATTACAGTTACAATTAAATATTAATTATTATCAGTACGTTCCTCCATACCATCACTTTCAGTGACCAAAGCTCGTTCAAGAATCACTCTACCTTCTTTATATCTTTGATTATCCTCTGTAGCAAATTCATACATCCAACCTAATTTAACACCGCAAAACTTGCAAAGTACGTCACGAACCTATAAGAAAGAAAAGAATGAGATCAAATATAGCAACAAAGCATTTTAAAACCTCACCATATGTCTTCCTGTTAACATAACTCTATCTTGAACTTCATTGTAGGTTAGATTAACCACTTTATTAAAAAGGAAAGCTCTACCTGTTGCACCAGTAAATCTGGTGCTAATCAATTCGTTGCGATTTGTAAGAAACGTATCGCACTTATAACAGGAGAAGAGACGAGCTCCACCCATGTGCTCAAGAAATACTCGACCCATTTTCTTATTTTCTAACAAAGAAAACCTTACTTTGTTTGGTTTGTTTTTTTATATTTTTATGATTAACTGTTAAACGTAGTTTAACAAATATTCACAATAATTAATTCGATTGTATTGTGGGCAATCGATCGTTGTTGTATGAAAAAAATCTTACAAAAACATTGAAAGTATGCAACCCAATTAGCAAAATGTACGCCACAGTGCTCCACAGTTGTCAACCTATAAGAGATATAGGTTAGAATTTAGTTTTTAATTTAAAATGTCTCAAAAAAATCCATTAATTAATGAAATAAACGGTGTTGTAATAAAATATAGCAATAAAAGGGCTGTTATTTGCTACGATAATGACCTGGTTATAAAAGAATTAAATTATAAAGATGTAGGTATGATTAGTCAAAGGATACAAAGTGGTTTAGATCTGTTTAAAAATTGTTTTGTTGGGTTATATATGGATCAAAATATTTTTATACCGTCTATAATAATAGGGTAATTACGTTAAACTCAATTAGTGGTTATACTGATAATTTTTAATTTTAGGTTACAAAGCCTACAATGTCCTTTTACATTTCTTAATGCAACAAACACAGAGAATTTTAAAAACATGGACGTTATTGTTACTTTAAATAAAGAATTTGATAATTCGTATTATTTATTCAATAAAAAAATTGATTTAATCTGGGATTATAAATTAAATGCATATATATCGAAAGATTTTAGAGTACGCAACAAGAGAGGATTTATTGAAAAAATTAATTATGTTGTTGAAACGTCAGGGACAACTGGTCCATCCAAGCAAATTTGGGTTGAACATTACTGTATTTATTCGAATATTAGAGATTTAAGGTTTTTTTGAAATGTGAAATGTATATTAAAATGATGTTCTTTTTGATATTTTTAGAAGAAAACTAAATATCAGCCATGAAGATGCAATTTATTACCAAACTAATATAACGTTCGATCCTTCAATGATTGAATTATATTTATCATTAACCACCGGAGCTTCTTTATTAATAATCTCAAATCCATTAAAACGGGATTTTTCGAAATTATTTCAGATATTATTTAAAACTGGATCAATAACTTTTTTGCAAATGTGCCCTTCAACGTTTTTGCAATGGTCTCAAGAGGAAATCAACTATATTTTGAATAAATCCCGTTTAAAAGTTTTGCTTTTGGGTGGGGAAGATTTTCCTAAATCTTTATTGACTATGGTTAAAAATAAAAACACGAAGATTTTTAATATTTATGGAATAACCGAAGTTTCTTGTTGGGCTTCTATTGAAGAAATTAATTTTGATCGAGAAATTTCTTTGGGGGAAACTTTAAACGATATTTCATTTGAGGTTAGAAATGAAAATGGTATTAAAATTGATGAAGGGGAAGGAGAATTGTGTATCGGTAACTCTTCGACGTTTTTACTTAAAACATTTTAATAAATCTGATTTTAGGAAGTTCTAAACGAATATGTTATTTGAATAAGGATGAGAAAATATCTTTACCTTTGTTTAGGAGAACGGGCGATTTAGTGTCGATTAAAAATGGAAAAATTATTTATAAATGTCGGTTGGATTCTGTTTTTAAAAGATTTGGAATAAAAATTAATTTAAATCAAATTGAAAAAGAGATTTTTAAATTAATTAACCTCGAAAATATAATGGTTTATTTAGAAGAAAAATCAAAATTAATTTTATTCGTGAAATTGAATGAAATTGATGAATCGCTTATGGAAAAATCTTGCGACAAAATACGAGTTCAATTATTGCATGGATTAAAACAAGAATATTTCCCCGATCTCATCAAAGGTTTATCAAAGATTCCTTTAACGAAAAATGGAAAAGTGGATAAAGAGTATTTAAAAAAATTCGTTGATGTTGTAATTAAGAAAAACAAAAATTTAAGCAATGAATTAGATATTTTTAAAACACTCTGGGTAAAATATTTACCACAAAATTACGATTTTAATGATAAAACTTTTTACGAATTAGGTGGTTCCTCCATTTTAAGACTTCAATTTACAAACGAATTTAAACAACTAATTCATAAAAAAAATCAACTACCAACTCAATTTTTTGATTACATATTTTCCAATAGTTACGGTAAAGTAATCAATTTTATCGAAAATCATCAATTTGATAAATCGTTGAAAAACCCTATGAAAAAATTGAAAACTCTCCATCACAATTATCATCAATTAATCATTAAATGGAGTTATGACCTCAAAGGATGTGTGGATTCAACTCCTTGCATAAATAAATCGAAAAAGTAGGTTATTTTCAATATTTTGACATTTAATGTCAATTTGACGTTTGTTATTTTGAGGTTACATGTCAAAGTTTTTTTTGCAGTTTAATATCAATTGGATCATTTTCAAACAATTTTGCAACGTTAAATTTAACAACTGGTAAAGAATTATTTAAAATAAGCCTACCAAATGCATTAGAAAGCAGTTCTATCATCACCAATTCCGGAAATTTGGTCATAATTGGTTGTTATGATGGTTGTTTATATTCAATGGATATGGAAAATAAAAAAATTTTATGGTGTTTTCGAACTGAGGACAAAATAAAAAATAAACCTGTTTTTATTAGAAATGAAGAGATGGTCGTTTTTGGGTCTTATGATAAACATTTGTACTGTTTAGAAACAAAAAGTGGTGATGTAATATGGAAAATATTGTTGAAATCTCCGATAACCGCTGATTGTTTGTGTTTAAAAGAATTTAATTTACTATTTATAGCGACGATAAATGGAAAATGCAATTTAGTTGATTTTAACGGAATAATATTAAAACAAATTAATTTGGGGAATCCAATTTTTAGTTCACCATGTTTATTTAATCTCAATCAAATTATTATCGCAACGGTTCAAGAAGGAATTTATTGTTTAAATCATCGAAATGATCTTGAGATTGTAAGTTTTTCTTGAAAGAAGGTAAAATACTTATTTTTTAATTTTTTTTTTAGTTGTGGGCTCACAAATTAAATACAAACATTTATTCATCATTAACAACAATTAAAAATTTAATTTTTTTCACTTCCCATGATGGTTTTTTATATTCGTTAGAAATAATGAATAATTCATCTCGTTTAAAATTTAAGATTCAACTAGATTCACCAAGTTCTTCGAGCGTAGCAATTAAAGAACATTTAAATGAAATTTATTTAATCACCGCGTCAATAGATGGAGCTATTTACGTAATTGATTTTTACCAAGAAAGTATTTTAATTAAATATTCGTTGAAAGCGGAAATTTTTTCGTCTCCGATTATTTATCAGTGCAAAGAAACTAATAATCTTTCATTCCTTATTGGTTGTCGTGATAATAAATTATATTGTATTGAATTAATAATAAATGGACAAAAATGTAATTAAAAAATGTTTGTTTGTCATGAAGCCTTTTTATTTTCTCACCTTCATGTTTTTACAACAAATTTCATCCAAATCATAGGCAATTATTTTATTTTTAACACCATAATTCACAAATATACGACTAAATTACTTACATTATTTTTTTTGTTTCATTTAAAACTTTTAAACCCTAAGAGGATAGGAAATGTGCCAACCGCTTATACGCTTATTACATACTTTTTTCTCATTAAAAACACAGAGACATTAATTAGCCTAAAAAAATTAACAATATAGCGATAATCTATTCAGCAATTTCTATTAGAGGTTATGTAAATGCGCCACCTTTAATGAAACTTTTTCAAGATGAGAATGCAACTATATATTTACGATTTATGGTATTAAACACCGTGCGATTGATAACTTTATTTTTATGAATTCCCTTTCTTGAATTCTTTTTTTATCCAAATATGACCCTCATTTCGAAGTGTACGAGGTTAATAGTGATTGAAATATAAACAAATGTAATAGAAAAAATAATTAAATGTAATAAAACGTTAGATTTGGAATGCAAAGCAGCGATTTTATGTAAAATCCCTCTTTCTTACTATTTTTATAAGATAATACATTAGCATTTATTTATTTATTTTCCTCCAAAAAGCTAGCGATCACGGAAATAAATTAGAAAATCTCTTTCACAGCTAAAAAGAAAAATTACCTCCCTAAATATACAAAGCATTTTTATCTTTTTTTAATCGTTGAAGGTCTTTCGTTTATCAAACAATAGTAAATAGTTTTTAATGATGCAGCACACAGTTTTACATAGAATATACGACCGCAAATCGTAAAAACCTAACCTCAAAAAAACGATAATCATAATAAATCCTCACCACCTTACCTTCTTTTTTAATCTTATTGTTCTTCATCGCCCAGCTCGTGTTTAATTTTTGAAAAATCAAATTCTTCTCCCGTACCCCTCTTAAATATATCCAAAACGTCCAAACACGTGGTCTCAAAATGAGTTGTAGCGTCGTACGATTCGGAAATAAAAATTTGCGATTCCAATCCGGCGTCAGTCGGTTCGTAATAATCCGAAACGGAAACAAATTTCTGACGAATTGTACCCAAAAGTTCTAAGCCGGGTTTAATTTCCGATTCCGGATTGTCAGTCTCAACCGTGGTCGAAACCATTGCGATAAACCAACCTTTCGCGGCCACTTGATGAGTATAAGAAACAAGTGATACGTAAATATCGGAATTGCGGCCGACCTGTTTTTGCGGAATGATTATTTGAGTGGAAAGAGCGTCTTTTGTGCTCGCTATGGGATGATCGATTAAACAGATGCAACGGATTACTTTACCCTTCTTACGAACGCGATCCATTACATAACTTGGATCGCAATAAACCTGTTTACACTTAGCCGTTTCAGAACCGGAACGTACCCCTACTACGCGACCCCCTTCGCCTAAAACTATTTCATCTATCGGTTTATCAAGCATGTATGTACCCCCGTATATCGCAGATAATCTTGCAAAGCCTTAAAAACAAATAAAATACATTCAAAAAATACAATAAATTCACCTTATTTCTATCATTCTCACCTTGTGGTAATTCACCAAGTCCATACATTGGATATAAATAAGGTGACTTTCCATAACGGGCCAACGACTCAGAATAAAGTTTGATACGCCTAATTGTTTGAATAGCAGGTTGTTCAAGATAATCATCGTCCCTGTACAAGGCGAGGGCGTGACCTGTAAAATCCCTGGTGTTGTTATCAAGGCCAAACTTCTCATAAAGAGCCTGCATCGTTGCTTTATTTGGATCAAAGTCTTTCCATGTACGAGGGTCATTCTCCTGGAAATCTTGAACATAAATCAAGAAATTGCGAAAACGACGTTTCTCAAACATTCCCATTAAGTCAGAAGCTAAAGCTTCTTTTTGATCCACTGGAACCTTAAAATTTAAAAAAAATGACAGTTAAATGTCAAAAATGACAGATGCATAAAATAAGTCTAAAATTCCAATTAAAACATAAAATTGACACTTACCTTAGATATTTTTCCACCTTTATAAACATAACTTCCTTCAACAGATTTAAACTCCAAATATCTAGTAACACCGGTATGGATGAGTAATTTTACTAGTTGTCCATTGGCCATAAGGAATTTGGGAATGAGATCAACGTTCCAGTCGCGACCGCGGCCGTATGTTTCATCCGGGTTGGGCACGTTGAACTTGGCGAAGAGCTCCTCCAAGGGGCAGATGGAGGCCGATTCGCCTCCATAGTATTTGTTACGATCTATATGCAGGACTTTCTTACCGGAAACGGATAGCATACCACTCAAGATGCATTCCTTCAATCCGGTACCGAGAACGATTGCGTCGTATTCTTCATCCATCGTTGTTGATTTCGAAAATCTCTGAATCTAATAATTATAGGGGTGTTGAAAGGTTTTCTGCGTTTTCTGTGCACCAGCGGAGAAGCCGACGTCAAACGTCACTTTGCAGACAGCCAACCGTACAAAAAGAAAATAATCAATCGTTTTCATGTAATCTTTGTGGGCTTCTTAATTTTGTTTTTATATTATTTTTTTGCCGGTATTTTCATTCGTATATGTTTATTTATTATAAAATAATTGTTTATTTTTCGATAATTGCATTAAATGTCTTGTAATAATTAAGAAATCTATTTTTAATTTAGGTTGGTAATAGATCTTTACTAAAAACATTTTGGAAATAATGATTGCAACATTAAAAAGATCTTATTTTTATATGAACGAACACATATCACATATTATTTATAATACAATTATAATTTCTATGTTGCCTTAAATTTTATCAAATCAAAAAAATATGTAATATGTAATTTTATTATATTCAGTTAATATTGAGACAATCAATATTAACCAACTTGTAATGAATGAATAAAATATAAAAATTATAACTTATTTTTATAATGTAACTTTAATTTTTGCTTTAATGACAAAAATTAATTATGTATGATTGATAAAAAATAAGCCACGTGTATAGGTACCCATACATATTTGTTAAAGTCGTTGTACATTTGACGTTTACCGTGTGGTATTAAGTGGGGGAAACGTCAGATGAGCCGTCAACCGCCAGTTGTGTATTGGACGTTTAAGTGTGTTGTTGCTTCTTAAACGCAGGGTACCGATAAGTAACTATTTGCGTATGTTACTGAAAGACTGATGAAGAAATAATTTAGAAGAAAAATTATTAAATATGCCACGTGTTAGAAGATAGGGTGCAGCCTCCGGGGGGGCCTCGTAATGCTAGAAACGAAACGATGTCCGGTCTTTCTGGCAATAACGGTGCCTCACGCGCCGAAAGTTCAGTGCACTGCTCCACTTACACATTCCCTCAAGAAATCCGGGATGTTAAAGGCCACGGTCGGAGTGCTAGCCACGGCGGGGGCGCAAGTCTCGCAGGCAGCAGCTCCGCAAATATTGTCGCCGGTCGTCCGTCAGCGCTTAAGACGACGAGGGGTCACCAAAGGGCTTTCTCACAAGGACAAATACCGGATAGTTCGGTTAGACCGGGTCACAGCAGGGTCGGTTCAAAAACTGATTTTATTCTCCCGCCGGGACACAAAGAAACGGAGACCGGGGGTCCGGTCACCACGCGATCATCTTTAAAGGGTCACTCTAGACAAGCATCCAGATCAGAGTCCATCTACACATTAAGAAGGAGCGCTCCTCCGTCGATGTGGAGGCGATTGATGTGCTTGGTTCTGAGAAGGTCTCCTAGATACGAACAGGAAGAACGGTTCAGGATAATAGTGCCCAATCACACAGTGCCTCCGAAAACCCCGAACAAGGACCACCCGAATGGGAAACGGCCGAACAACAAAATCCGAACGACCAAGTACACATTATTATCGTTTTTACCTAGAAACCTTTTGGAACAGTTTCATAGAGTCGCAAATTTGTACTTTATTTTTATCGTGCTGCTAAATTGGTTCCCTGCCATCAACGCCTTCGGGAAAGAGATCGCTATGATTCCCGTGCTATTTGTGCTCGGTGTGACCGCCGTTAAAGACTTGTTTGAAGATAGAAGGCGTTACGCTAGTGATAAGAGGATAAATAATTCGACTTGCAGAATTTATCACAGGTAAGAAAGAACACTATGATGATTTTGTTAAGTCTTGTCTTGTTTTGAATTGAACTCAATTTTTGAAGTTTAATTTGCAAATATTGTATTTTTTTTTAATGATCACATCGTTATTTTTTCAAAGAAAGTTGTAGATAATTCCTAATGATTCTTATAAAAGTGAAAGTTGAAAATGCGCGTTAGTTGTTGTTCCGTGTAATTTAAGCATAAATTTAATAATATCTCCATTGTAAGATTTAAAATAAAAGTAATCAACTTGATACTTTCCGATATAAGGTAATTAATTTTTTATTTTGAGAGATCTCATTTGGCAATCGTTTTTTGGGAGATAATGAAATGAATACTCTAGTAAAGCACAATTCGGTATTTTTTCATTTATAGATATCGTTATCATTCATGGACAATTAAGGTCTCTATCTAATTCCACCTTTTTCGCCGTTAAAAATACACAAAATACTCCGAATTGATTTTGAAGTATACGTCATAATAACTTTATTAATTTTTTTTCTTGGTAACTTCTTGTTTCGATAAGATTAAAATATCGATTGTTGAGCGTTAACAAGATTTTCACGGTTTTGACTTGTTCTCTGATGAGTTTGGGAATGATTAATTCGATATTTATAAATGGCGGAGGTTGGATTAATCGGTTGACCCATAATATCCGACTTATTAAACCTGTGGTGTCGCAGCAATTATTCAAGAGGCTTCCACAGGTGGTAGTATAACCAACTTTGATCAATATTTGTCCCTCCCGGTAATTTTATCAATAGAATATTCATTGAAATCACGACGTCAACGATGAAAATTAGATTTTCAAGTAAAGTGAGACTTCCGGTTAAGCGATGTGATTAAAATTTATCTCTGAATGTAATAATTAGTATTATTAAACAGATAGATAACCCTATCAAAATTTATCGTTATTCAAAATCTGTGCATCTCAGGAAGTAGACTAAGAAGACTGGGTATAGCACTTTGTTAAACTGGGCCAGCTTTTCTATTAGTTCTGTTTCTCCATATTAAAACAATTCGTTAAGTATGTTGACGTTTCTCGGAGATTTCCCGTTTTTTCAGTTTTCCAAATTTTTCTTCTATCTGGATAATAGTTTTTGTGCTTACAGGTGGCCTAACGTGTGTTGTCTCTTCGGTAGAGTATAGTAGTTTAAAATAGTATTTCCAATCATTCTTTGACACCATATTTATCTGTACATACACGTTGAGTGGCTTCTTTCAATTTCGGAGCATTTTTCCGACCCTTCTTTGAGCTTCGTGCAGGTCATAGTCGATATCGCTCGTGATTAGTACCTTTTTTTTTGGTTCCTAACCTCTTCGCAAAACCAGATTTTGGTGTTGTTGGTTGCTCTTACCGATGGCATTCTCTGCAGCCTCGTGGATGTATTTTTGATTCCAGTAAGTTACTTAATACAGTGAACATCCTAGCCGTAGTTCGTATTACTTAATGAAAATGAAAATAAAAAATGAAATAAAATATATAATCGAGAGTGACAATCGATACGTTTTCATTACGTACAGTCGCCGTTACACTCACATATTTATATTTCATCGTTTCCTGTCAGTTTTGTAACCTTATCTATCTCGCTGGGAAAACACGCTATACACAAACGCGATTAAACATTATCGCACGAATAAAAGAGCGCAATAATTTTTAATTTTTAATCTTTAATCACGACAATAAGCGTGAATCGTATGATGAAAACATAATGGTTATTTTTTTTTATCCGGGGCGTACTCCGTTCCGAAAATAGCCAAAAAGGAATTTGGCCGTTGAAATAAGAATGAATAGTGGGTGGCAGAAACGTTACGACTTGTTTTTTGCAAAGTTAAGTAATTTACGATTTATGTTGTCCATCAACGCGTTCAATGTTTGGATTAAAATAGCGAATAAATTTGAAAAAGAAACGATTTTTTTTTCGTATTTGAGTGTAGGATAATTTTCTTCTTGTTCGTAGACGTTAGAAATGAGACAACGCGTTGCTCAAGGTAACCCGAGTAAAAGTCGAGGATTGCAAAATGTCTTATTAGGTAACTTGCCCGGTGAGACGCGAACTCTAACTCTGCAAAGCGTAAAAGTGAAAATTAGAGAAAAAAGAAACGAAAAATCTAAACGTAGATATGAATTGTTAATGTTGTTGTTTAAGTAAAAATGGTTTACATTTTTTTTGCTCGGAAAAATTCTTATATATTTTTAAAGCATTCGTCGACGTTAAATTACGTCATTCGTGCATTAACATTTATTTAAAAAATAATAATCATTTTAAATCTCATTCCTTGAAAATATTTGGGGAAATCGATTTTTACCAAAAATAAATTTCTAGAAAAGCAAGAGGAAGTGACGTGGTTATTAACTAACTCAAGGATTTTTTTGCCTTTGTAAACGATATGACAAATTCGTTTAAATACCAAATCGGTTTTGTTATCGTTAAAACAAACATATCGATACTAACACTAACATAAAATTATTGTTCAAATTGAAATCCCCACACAAAATCGGAGTTTTTTAAGGGATTAAATTGCGTTTGTTCTTTATTTTTTATTAAATAAGACCAATTAATCTCGGGCGGAGTGGATTTGACTTGACTCAATATGGCATGACACGAATTCCCCGCTGAGAGACCAATTGGTGCGAATGGCCAATTAAAAAAGACGACGACGACATTTAATAATAGAACGGCATCTTATTGACACGTTATCTGTGTCAGTCTGTTATTGAAAGTAATCAAGCTATTTTCAGTTTTGAATTAAAGAAAACATTGGATTTTTTTTTTCAATTATATTCAAACAATTTCGACCTTGACATTAAAAAAGGTTTAAAACCATTACATTTCCCGCGATGCCATATATAAATATGAAATAATCGTCATTGAACAAAAACTAGAATTCTAACACTAGACATAGAACTACAAAGTTTCATGTTTAGCCGTGCCTCTTTAGAACTAACGCCTAGCACTGTGTTACAAGAAGTAACACTAGACCTAAACTAGAAACATTCGGGTTTTTACCTTCTTGAAAGACGCGCGGCTAAACCCAAATGTTTCTAGTTCTAGATCCAGTATGAGTTCTAAAGATAATGTTAAGTTAATTCTAGTTCTTGTTATTTCAAGAATTCGAATTTGAAAGAAGGTTATAGTGCTATTATTAGTTTTAGTTCAATAATCGATTCTCATTTTTCTGTTCGATTTTACCACAGATGGATACCCTTTTGAACCATTCTCTCTTTTATTAAATATTTACAGTCCTACTGCCACGTGCTGAGAGCGATTGCAGACAAGTGTTTAAAAATTTATCAAACCGTAACATCTTGTGGTTTTCCGTCTTTATAGGTGATATGTTTTAAATGATCGTAACCTTCCAAATTGACATTGATATAATTGCTTCATTTCTTTTACCAATTTCATTTACAATTATTATTTTATATTATGGTGAACGTGAAATTTTAATGTTATTAATTTACCAAGTTTGATTGCAATTGTAAAATTAAAAAAAGTTGATGACGCCAATTTTTTTTTGATATCGATAACGTTATCGGCAAAAAATGTTGAGTTTATAGCAATTATTTTAGTAAAGTTGCAACAAATAAATTTAAAATTTGCGATAAGACTTAATTAATATAACATTTATGTTTGATATGGTTGAAAGGAGAACGAAATTGATCCGGGTGAACATTCAGGTAAACAATCGTGACAATTGGAGCAAACTCTAATGACTCGAACATATGAGTCATGCGATCGCGTTGTCATACAAACATTAATAAATTAGTGCATCGAATCCGAAAATCGTTATTCAATAATAAAAAAATAACAAATAATGGCCAACGCATAGCGGTCCGATTTATTTTTAAGCTGAATTTTTCCATTTTGTTTTCTTTCGACATCCCAACGAGATATTTCTGTAGTAGACTCGTGTCAACGGCACGTGTTTGTCTTTATCATTTTCTGTGTATATCTCGCGACTAGTTTTTGTTTTTCATAATGTTAGGTAACGCAACCATTGTTATTATCAACGAAAGATTAGCTTGGTGCTTTCATTTTAACTACTTTCTAGAAGCGAAAGATTTTTTTACACGTTATAAAAAGCAATCAATTTTATTAAACAAACAAAGAATTTTTGAAACGATTCCGTTGTAATTTTGTCCAGGTCAAGGTTGAGACTTTATCTATAATTTAAACTTACAATTGACAATTTACTTTGGATTGATGAAATGATTTCTAGTGAAACGTCGATACTAATATTTCTAATATTAAAAGATGTTTCGTTTATTTCTTTTTTATTTTAAATATCAAAATCAAATAAGAAAAGATGAAGTGTAACAGTATAAAAGATCAAAATATGTATGTATAAACAATAATGAAATACTTATCCTACTAACTTCCTAGAAACGAAAAAGGTAATGTTGTACCTAAATTAAAAATCTACAATTCAAATAATGATTATGCGGCTTAAGTATGAAGTTAAGGAAAAAAGAAATTACTTCCGAATAACCTAATATTTATTTTATGACTCAACCTATGTTTGCAATATTAGAAATGAGGACTGATAAAGGTGATAAATGAAGACGTTTTTCAAGCTAAATATATTTCTTCTAAGAACTTTTTTTGTTATAAATTTTTGTTTAATTATTATTCCTTTATTCACGGCCACAGCTGCAATATATTATTCTCCCACACATTGTTCTAAAAAAGGCTCGTAGTAGGAGTAACTGTTAATCGACACGTATATGTATTTTCGAGGTTTCTGTGCCGTTTATTTTGAAACGGAGCAAAAACGAAACTTACCAGTTAGAGTTACCACCAACCAGTATATTTATTCAAATTAACGTATTTTTCATCTCTCTTTGGCTCCTGCAATACCTAATGCAACGAGAAAATCTAACGACTAAGAAGTCGTTTTATTATACCCCTTACGTAATACATCAAACAATTATGCGCAAATGTCAAATAACACTTGTCCACCAACATTCAATAACGTTATACGCATAACAATAGATTCAGTTTCTTTATGTTGTTGATTTCGTTTTTGTACAAAAGGTTTTTTAGCGATTTATAATTTGTTTTCGTATTCTTAAAAGGTGGAGAAGGTGAAAGGTTAATTGAGTTGATGTGAATCCAAAGATTGAATAATGTATACAGGGGTTTAAAAAAAGTTCCTGTAGAAATTGTGCGGAGAAATCTATGCGTTTCCTTCCTGCCACTTTCCTTATTTAAATACCATAAAATCTATTTCGAGGAAAATATTTCAATGAGTTTATTTTAACCGGATGCAACTAAAAATCGAGGACGTTAATGAAAACGTTACAATCTCCTAATTTTTTTTTAATCTGAAATACACCTTGAAACCAAGGTAGATATTTTATTATTAATCGAATGGTTATTTTTTTAAAATACTTTAAAGCTTTATTGTAGTCTCGGCGGGTTTTAGTCGATTTAAGATAATTATTTTTATAATCAATTCGACTTTTATAGAGACTATTGAGTATCTTATAAACCGCAAGATGATGACTTCATCACACGTACGGTTTTACCGTGACCTATATTTTACTCCGGTTCATTGTCACCGTGCTACTTCCATATGCGTAGAAATGCTTATTATTATGTTGGTGAACTGTAAAATAACCTTTTAATTTACGTCGCCCAAACTACTTTCATTGAAATTATCGATTACATCAAAGATTGCAAACTTGATAGAATATTTATTATAATTACAGACTATTTTCATATCATTTTCTTACACTATTGACCTTAATATAAGGATATAATCAGTTAAGAAATCTCAATTTTCTGTTTAATAAAAAAATATTTTTATTTTTAGTGAAGCTGATAGATATAAAAAAGTTTTATGGAAAGATGTACGTGTTGGCGATCTCATCCATCTCTCAAACAACGAAGTAGTTCCTGCTGATATCTTATTATTGAGGAGCAGCGATCCAAACGGACTTTGCTACATCGATACAGGCCATTTGGATGGTGAAACGAACTTAAAACAACGACAAGTCGCTAGAGGATTCGTCGAGAAGGTATTTAAAAAAATCGGTTTCTTATCGATTCTTATTAAAAGATAACGTTTTATAAACGGATTTTTACAATTAAATAAAAAAATAATAATGACTAATCGCTTAATTCCAAATTTGTATTGACGCAAATCAAAAACAATAAAACAATATTATTTTTTACAGCAACATCGATTTCAACCAAATTTGTTTAAAAGCAAAATAGAAGTGGAACCTCCAACCACGAAAATCTATCGATTTCACGGTGCCATAATTCACGAGACCGCCGAACGAATCCCAGTTGGAACGGAAAACCTTCTTCTTAGAGAATGTTTATTGAAAAATACCGATTATGTCGAAGGAATCGTCGTTTACGCCGGTAAACAACGTTTTTCAATGATCTTTTAATCGTATAAACTTGTTTTTTTGGCGGATGTTTATAGGTCACGAGACGAAAGCTATGCTTAACAACGGCGGCCCACGTTACAAAAGGTCGAGTTTGGAAAAGCAAATGAACCAGGATGTGATCTGGTGTGTACTCACCCTTATTATATTATGCGTAATTGGCGCGATTGGGTGTAAGGTATGGTTAGTAGCGGCCGAAAATATGGGAGAACCTTTCATTTCTGATACATTTTCATCATCTGGGGAAGCGTTTTTAGCATTTTGGACTTATGTGATTATTTTACAGGTTGTTATTTACATACTTAATTAACTCCTAACTTAATTTGGTTTTCACATCTACGCGAAGTTAGCCCCCAATTAAATAGTATTTTAATTATAACACGAGCACGTCTTTTCGATGAACAATATCTTATTCGAAAGCTTATTCCTTGGCTAATACGTTAATTAATTAAAGAATTCGCAGAAATGTTTAAAACGTAAAAATACAAGACAAAATATAAATTTTCCTTGACTTTTGGCACAGATGTTAGGTGGATTCAACTTGGATATCTTAAAAATTTCACAAAAAATCAAAGTATTTAAGGCTTAAAATAATATTGTACGAATAAATTAGTCAATAGCAATTCCAAGAACATTAAAGTAAACCCGAATAAAAGTAATCTTTATTTATTTATTCAAAACCAATAAATTTCAATTGAAATGAGCTATTGTAGTCAAGACTTATTTAAAAGCGTTTTTTTTCTATTTTCTTCTAATCTCATACGACTTTTTCTTACAGATACTCATTCCTTTATCATTATACGTAACATTAGAAATGTGTAAAATAATCCAAGTTTACCACATCCACAACAACGTAGATCTTTACGATCCAGTTACAAATAAACGGACTCAATGTCGAGCTTTGAATATAACCGAAGAATTGGGTCAAATTCAATACATATTTTCGGATAAAACGGGCACTTTAACTGAAAATCGAATGATATTCCGGCATTGCTCTATAGCAGGAGTCGATTACGAACATCCGCAATTAGTGGACGAATTAGAAACGAACGGTGGTTTAAATAAACTCACTTCGCTTTCGGTGGTTTGTAATCCAAAATTAATCGAAGATTTAAGTAGTGCATCGTCGCTTCACGAACACGTCTTAACCCCAAAGCAAATTCACGCATCTCGTGCCCAGGAATTTTTAATAATGCTAGCGGTTTGTAACACAGTCGTTTGCTCACATCATCCCCACGTCGATATGATGAATGAAAGCGGAACTATAGAACAACAACAAATTGAAACCAATTTCGATGATAACAGTAATAATGATCGATATAGGAGATTGGCGGAATCTAGATCGGTAACACCATCGCCACCTTTAACATCAACATCGAACGTTTATCTCGGCGGGGATCGAAGGCAACACGTTCCTTCATTAACTCCGATTTCCGACACATCACCGACCACAACCGAACTAAACCCGGATTTAACAACGAAAATGTCAATTATTAAACCGAAAAGAATGATCCCAACATTATTTTTATCGAAACGAAACGGAACGAATTTAACTGACGAACAAAAGTTAAAAATGAATCTATCATCAACGCCCTCACCAAAAGATTCCAAGCCGATTTATGAAGCCGAAAGCCCCGATGAATTAGCATTGGTCGATACCGCTTATAATTACGAGTTTAAATTAAAAAAACGATCACCAGGTTTATTAACGGTGCAAATACCAGGAGATGGACGATTAGAATTTGAGATTCTAGCTGTTTTACCATTTGATTCCGTAAGAAAATGTATGTCGGTTATTGTGAAACACCCCATCACGAAAAGAATTATTTTATATTGTAAAGGTGCTGATTCAACCATTTTAACTCGTATGGCACCGATTGAAGATGATTCTGAACAAAAACATATCATAACGCGAACTCAACAGCATTTAAATAGCTACGCTAGAAAAGGTTTAAGGGTTTTGGTGATGGCCAAGAGGGTATTAACGCTTCAAGAATACAACGATTGGTCGAGAAAACATCAAGAAGCGGAATTAGCTCACGATAATGTTGAAAGAAAATTAAGAGATGTTTACGGATTAATTGAAAGTAATTTAACCGTTATTGGAGCCACAGCCATTGAGGATCGATTACAAGAAGGTGTACCTGAAACTTTAACTAATTTAATATCGGCTGGGATTATTATATGGGTTTTAACCGGTGATAAGCCAGAAACGGCAATTAATATAGCGTATTCCGCGAAACTTTTTTCACCAAACATGGAAGTTTTAAAAATTATGGCCCGATCAAAAGAAGCCGCGGAAAATTCGATTTTACTTTTTCTATCAGAAATTGAACGCGAACAAGGTGGTGAAACCGACGAGAATTACCCGGAAGCGTCGGTGCGGAGTCGAAGAAGCATGCAAGGACAAGCTCGCGCTTTGGTCGTTGATGGAAAAACGTTAACGTTCATTTTAGATAGACGATCAAATCTGACAACGCCGTTCTTAAAGTTATCAACGTATTGTTCATCGGTTTTGTGCTGTCGAGCTACCCCTTTACAAAAAGCTTACATCGTTAAAGTCGTTAAAGAAGAATTGAAGATGAGAACGTTAGCTATCGGGGATGGTGCAAACGATGTTTCAATGATTCAAACGGCGGATGTTGGGATTGGTATTTCGGGGCAAGAAGGAATGCAGGCTGTTATGGCATCCGATTTTGCTTTGCCAAGGTTTAAATTTTTAGAACGATTCTTGTTGGTTCACGGACATTGGTGCTATGACCGATTGTCGAATATGATTTTATATTTTTTTTATAAAAATGCGGTAAGATATTTTTGAACGTTTTAATAATTTAAATTTATAATTTATTTTCTTTTAGGCTTTCGTTTTTTTAATATTTTGGTTCCAACTTTTTTGTGGATTCTCTGGAACTGTGATGATCGACCAGATGTACCTCATGTTATACAATTTATTATTTACTTCTTTACCTCCGATTGCCATAGGTTGGTAACAATGTTGATAATAAATTCATTTTAGTTTTAATCTTTTTTTTTTAGGCGTTTACGACCAAAACGCTCCCGAAGAACTGTTAATAAACGAACCTTATTTATACAGAAGAGGACGCTTGGGACGCGCTTACAAATCTCATTCGTTCTGGTTAACACTTTTCGATGCTTTATATCAAAGCATTGCAGTTTTCTTTATTTGTTTTTGCGTGTATTATGATACAGACATAGGACTTTTTGAGTTTGGGACCGTTTTAACAACAGCTTGTATGTTTGTTATGTTGTTACATGCTGGTATTGAAATTAGATCTTGGGTAAATTAATTAATTTACATTAATTCGAGTAATTTAAATCTATTTAATTTTTTTAAGACTATAATCCACGTTTTAACTATCGTTTTCTCCATCAGCGTCTTTTACATCTATAGTTATTTGTATAACTCGATTTGTGTGAGCTGTTTTGGTTTACCGAGTAGTTATGGGGTGATACAAAATACGGCGAGTACCTTAAATTATTGGCTTGTGATTCCTATTTGTTGTGTAACAGCCATTTTGCCAAGGTAATTTTTTCTCTCAATATATTTGTAACGTTAAAATTTAATTTTTTTAGGATAATTATTCGAGTTGCGAAGAACATTTTCTACCCGGAGGAAGTGACCAAGGCGGTTATAGAACATAGAAGAGCTGCTAGAAGAGGTGAGGGATTTCTAGTAAGTTGGTCTAGGTCGACTTCAGCGTCTTCAATTTACAGGTAAGGTGGCCAAAAAAAAGCTTCTAAAATAACAACGATTTGAACAAAAAATGTGTATTCAAACCTCATTGTGTTAATCGTTTAATACTCAATGCTTGTGTTTAGCTACTTTTATAAATCATTTTACACCTTTACTATAAACGGGGTTATTCAATTAAGTAAGCTAATTCAGTAAATTGTCAACGGGTATGCAACCCAAATGACGTACACGTCAATTGGCTGGTATAAACTAAAGAAAAATTTAAAACCACGAAATTAATTCTTTTAATTTCAAACATTAATCACTTAATGAATCGCCTTGTACTCATTTAAATAAATTGTTGTAGCTTTTTTGCGACACTTTTTTTTCTGACAAAGTTAAGGTAAGTACGCATGTTCCTTTTTATTCTTTTAACAAATTGTAAATAGTTAATGTGAATGGGTATCAGCAAAAATGTAAGTACGTTTTAATTTCTTTATGTTAAGTGTTTGTGAAGTGTGCTAAAACATACTTAAAAATTTGTTTTAAATAATTTTTAAATATTTTATTTTTGATTTTCACAGAACCGCCAATAACCGGTCTCAGGATAACATTGTAACGGTAACGGGATGATTAAAAAGATAATTAAGAAGATGTACATTTTCCCAAAGTGACCTTAAAATAAATTTCTTATCGACAAGAAAGTACCAACAAATTAAAAGTATATATGTATACAAAAGTAGTTAAAATAATTAGGAAAAAAGAACTTGCATTTTTTTATAGGCTGTGACGCAACAATTAACTTTGTATTTCTATACTATAGGAGTTAAGAGTTTAAATAGGGACCAAATTAGTAAAGTTGTAATTTATTTTTTACTCTGTGCGTGATGATTGATTTCCCCTTTTTTTTTATTTAAGTGCCATTCGCTCCTTAAACCCTTTAAATCAATTTTTAAAACACTATTTAGTAGAGAGAGTTGTTTTTTTGGGTACTTAACACTAAGAAATAAATATATAATTAATTAATTTTTTTCTTCGACCAGTTACCAAGTTAGTAGTGAGTTTAAAATGTAAATAAATCATCCCTGACTTTCATTTCAATGTGATTACAATTTTTTTTTCACAATTTTATCATTGCAATATCTCGTTGTTCCTTTAATTTAATGTTATTACCTATGTTTTTTTTTGTTTAAATTAATTTAATTACAATACATGGTGATACTAATTTTATATTGTTGTAGTACTTGCCAATAATGTAATTAATCAATTTTATCGTTTATTCTTTTAAGTGGTTATTGTAATAATTAATTATTTCGGAAACCAAAATAATACGGCACGGCAACCTCAAGTCAATTCTAAATGAAATATAGAGAAGAAAATATGTTTGCCTTAATCTAATGTGAAAAATCTATCTTTAAGTTATTTTAGGCGTTAGGAATTGATAAATTAACAGACCCGAAATTAATAAATAGTCGTTAACCGTTGAGTTTTGTCGTATAAGAGTATATGAAAATGTTAAAACACAAATTTTTACTAATTAATAGCTATTTTTATCATCATTGAAAATTGTATTTATGTTTAGTGAAACATTTTTTATTGAAATAAGGGGGAAACAGTATTAAACGAGTTGAAGTTTCTGATTTTTGTTTTAAATTCTTTATTCCTGTTTTAAGTCACTTTTCCCACAATTTTCTTTAAAAAATTATTGTCTAAGAAAGTGTTTTTTGACTCGACTAAATTAAAATGGGTAAATTACCAAAAGAAAGCTAAGTGCCTTTCTATTTTCTTCAAATTATTAAATTAGTTTTCTATTTTTGCGGAACTATACGTTCATCTTTCCATTCATAGATGGCACAATTTTGATGCTAAAAACTTTCAATAATTTTTTTAAATTAATTTTTGATTCATCATATATTTATTAATATAAATGTGTTAAATATCTAAAACACTCGTTTAAAGTTAGTCGCTATTAAATTTATCTTTTATACGTCATTTTATTGAAAGTTGTTAAAGTAGTATTCTAATTAAATTTAAATTAATTGTGTAATAGTTTGAAGCAAAAATAATTTTTAAATTACATACAAAAAAAAGTTATAAACACTTTTGAGTGCATTGAAGTGAAATAAACTTGCGTACTCGTTGATTTCTAATAGGGGGAGAGTCGAGTGGCGACCATCGCAAGGCGCAAGCTGTTAAGAACGTTTAGAAAAAGGTCCCTTTCGTCCCTTCACATCCATTCTATTTCAATCGGATTACCAAAAACCATTTTGGTTTCATCGGTGGTTGCTTCTTAACATAGAAATTAACGCCGATTTCATGTTAAATGGATCGCAAAAGATGATGTAACAGCTGTATATAGTTCTTTCTCTTATTTACAAGTTGCTGATGTTAATTAATAATTTATTAAACGAGTTGCGTATATCATTGAATGAAAATTAATCCACTTTGGTAGTTTGCCAAGAAAGGACTTATTTAAGGTGTATATTGAATACTTTGGCTGTCGGCTCGAAAAGGATAGAAGCTTTTGGGGTTCTCTTCGCATGATCAAAAAAAGAACAAAACCAAAATGTTAAGATTCAGAAACGGGTTAAGCTCGAATTATTTACGTTTATATTCTTATTTATTATTTTAATTAACGCAATTTAGGGCGTAATAGGATTGTTCTTTGTTAAGTAAATTTTTGATAACAAAAAAATAATGAAAATTGAAAAGGTTTTCTATTAAAACCCCATTTGAATAGGTAACACACAGCTTACGTGTGTTATTTGTCGTCTCTCGTTTTAAGTTTCTTAAAGCTTCTTAAGTGTTTTATTTCACATCGCTAGAACATGTAGTGGTACTTTGAATCAGCGTCAACGGAATGTGGTCTATGGCTTGGAAAATCTTCGATTTTAAGTTTTCATTGAAGCCGTTCGAGCGTAATTATTAAAGGACCTTTTAATAACGTCTTCGTGAGAATCGGTTTTACGTGATTTTTTTTGTTAATTTGAGATATAAACTATTTCTTATTAACTCGTAAAAATGCAGTTGTAACTTTTTAGACTTTACACTAACGAAGAACTAATAACAGGAGCTTTCTAAAATTGTCGATAACGCCGCAATAAAAAACCAATAATTGAAGTTTTTTTAATGTGTGCTCTCGGTGGACGAAGTAAAAGCTTTCTTCGAAAAACAATAAAGCGAACGAGTTTTAGAGCTTTCCGGCTATTATATTAGAAAAAAGAATTTTCGACGTGGACGACGTCGTAAAAACATAGTTTCAGGAGCCGGACGAACTCGACGCTCTACAAATAAATATTCAAAATTTAAATTTACACCTGCGCCAAATCGTAAATCATTTGCCACAGCTGAGGAACCGCTTTAGTGTCTTCTTCGCGGAGAGTCATTATGCCATACCTACTTTGAAAGGTTCTGTAATTTTTTCCACATGACATTTACGACAATTAAGAGTGACAAAAAAGTTACCGACAAATCTTTGTTGAATCAATAGAAAATATTTAAGGAATTTTTTCTCTTTGTAATACATCATAAAAACGCGTCGTCAAAACGGAAGGCGCCGAGACGTGAATGATCCATCAAGAGTTGTACGTCCTCCATCATGTGCCTTAACCGTGCACCGTGATCTGATTAGCCCCGGATGCCAAAGGGTATTGTAAAAGGGCTCACCTGGTCCTGTCCTGTACTACGTATTTATAGAAGCGTCTGAGCCAATTGTCCTCGTCCCCGGGGCTTAACACCTTCTTCTTCTTCTTCTCCTCCTTGGCGAGCTTTGATTGTATTATTATTCTATCACAGTTGACGTCGACCCTTTTGAATAAGAAAATCCTCGTAAAAAAGGATTATCTAAAATGTAACCGTTGTAATCCTAAAAAAATAATACAATATAAAATTATTAAAAAATCTAAATCTGCTAAATATATTACCATAATTTTGAAATAAGGTGGAAATATTTTATTTTAACGATATATTTAAATAGTTAAGTTAATCCTGTGGGATTTTAACTGTAAACGGGTACGAGAAAACCGTATTACTTCCGCTTACAAAGAGCTGTTTTCGTTTTGAGGATAGCTTTTTGTAAGCGAGATCGAAAACTCGGATTTCTAAGTAGATTATCGTCACAAATCCGATACTCTTCTACAACGATTGTACGTCTTTCGAGTTGTTTAGATCTGTTTACTAAATTCCGGGTAAGAAAGCTCAGTGTGGTCCGGAAAGGTGGACAAGAGTTAAGTATTATAACGGAAGATTTTGTAACTAACGGTCCGTACTTAATCCTATTACGTATCTTTTAAAAATGTTTCAATTCCAATCTTCTCCTTCTTATAGCGCTGTCTCAAACCGTCGGCGAAAATCTTTTTGCAATGAATTTTGACGTTTTCTGATCAATATTTCTTACCTCTTGTTATGTGTCCTAAATAGTTCAGCTTTCTTTCTTTAACTATTCGCTTCTAGCTTCTTCTTTATTCTTTGGATCACAATTCCTAAGTTAGTTAGTTGATTATGGTTTTATGATAATTAGAAGATTGGTGGAGTACTGTCGTGGTAAGGGTGTTAAGAAAATCGAGGGAGCTTGCTCTCTTTCATACTCTTGGCAAGCACTATCATGTCCTCTGCGTAATGTTATATATCTTCTGATGCTAGATCTTCATGCTTATGTATGCTAACTTCTTCTCGTTCTATCAGGCTTCCTTCTTTCTGCAGGTTTCCAGTTGATAAATTATTTTGGGTTGATTTCGTTGTTCTGTATTTCCTATGCAGTTTTTGAATCTCGTCGCAGCGTTCTGTTGTTGGAGCATATCCCTGCATTACATTCAAAGTGTAGATCTTTATTACTTATTATTACTCTCTCATTTATTGGTAACCATTCCATGCCGAATTGTACAAGGTTCTGAGTTAGTAAGATTCCCACTCCCTGCCCATAGTGGTGGTTTTTAATTCCCATGTAAATTTTTTTTTGCAAATAAATGCTGGTTTTTTTTATGAATTTTTTATCCCATCATCCTTTTCTTGTATTCGATTGATAATTACCTGTTTTCCGGGTACCATCCTATATCATCATCGCGCGATCGTCCATAATTAAAGGATGCGAAACAAAATTCTTGAAGCATCATCATGCCGCGTAATGATATTATTAAAACAGGTGATAATCGTCGGGTTGCGGTCGTCGTAGCGCGCGCTTGATAATGACAGGAGACCGTGGAAAACTCTACGCCCATTTTCTGGCGGTCATAAGACAGTCGGGCTCTTTGATCGATTGTGTTAATGACAATTGTACTATGTGTGTTGGGCGTTGAAGAAGCACCGCATTTCGCCATTGTGTTTGTTTGTGCTAAGTCACCGGACTCGATGTGCTCGCTTCTTTTATTCTTTTTCAATAACGGCGATCCTATACCATTTGATTACTGGTATCTGTAATGATGGCAATCTATTAGTTCAAATAAAAAAAATGTGGTGCAGAGTTTATTTCTAAGCATTAAGAAAAGATCGTTATTAACATAATTATAAGCACCAACTCCTACAATTGTCCATAATGAATACACCGACGAAGCACATAACAAGAAAATTGAAAAATAGGCCTTGAGTCGGGGACACAATAACACCCAAAAAAAGGGTTGGTGGCATTCGCATGCACACTCATACATAGAAGAGACGCAGGATACGCATTTTGAATGGGAATGTTGTGGGATAATTGTCCGTATTTCCCATTATTGAATTGGGAGGGCAGTAGCACGACGAAACCGGATCCCCTTCTGTTCCAAAACAACGACAGCTCTTATTCTTGCAGAAAGAACCTTATAAACTCAAATTAGCACTTTGTACGATTATTAATTAAAGCGGTGGACACGGACGAGGAGGAGCGGAGAGATATTGAACGTGGGGCGTAGCCGTCGATGGCCGCACCTCTACGGGGACGACAACCAAAGTAGCAACACCGCGTATCGAGAGCGAGATGAAATCAAAAACGTACAAAAAAATCACCAAGCTACTACTACTACTGGTGGCGGCGAAGAAGAAGACGGCGAACTTCTCTTTCAAAAAAGCGATCACTTCAAAATGGCTGTAGAAAACTGTCAAAATGCAAAAAAATATTTGATCCAACTAGAAACGCTAGAAAAGTATGTTTATTTCTTGAAGGCTTAAAATACCAAATAAAACAAAATTTACGAAATATCTCAATTTAATATCTTATAATCCGATCAGAAAAGTTCGATTTTAAGAGTTAAGACGTTACCAAGGAAGATTCGGAGCAGTTATTGCACCGAATGCGAGTTTATTAAAGCTTTTTTTTTATTAGAGTTGAAACCGATTTGCTTTCTGTTCCACTACGCTCTGCTGATGAAGCCATTCGGTCGCGATAAATTACAATTACGTTCCACGACGACAACGGCGGCGTCGACGACGGCTATCTCTTCTGCTAAACAACGACTTTATTAGCCGTGCCGACACACACACACACATACACATACGACGGCCCCAAAGCGGGGCCGCTACGCTTTTTAGTATTCAACGTTGTGGTATTGTTGTTCGAATCCGATCTGTGTCATAACTCAATCGGTCTGACCTTTTCTTTGTGTACCCATAGGTATTTATAGCAGAATTTTTATTTGAATATAGTTAAAAGTTAGTTCTTCAAATT